GCTGAGCACACCCCAGGACTGTCTGGGGAGGGGCATGAGCTTCCCATTTTGACAGGTGGCAAGAGAGAGAGGGGTGGGCGGGGAGAGAGCGCAAGGGTCGGTCATGGTTCCTGGGTTCCTGGAGGCTGTGTGTGGCAGGTTTTGGAGAGACAGGCCTGGGGCCAGACCTTTTCCTCTTCCCTCTTCCTTACCTCCACTCCTCGTTCCTACTTCCTCTTCTTTTTGCCCTGGGGCCTCTACAGGTGTGTGTCCTGGGCTTGCACCTGGCCAAGGAGCTGTGCGAGGTGGATGAGGATGGGGACTCGTGGCTGCAGGTGACGCGCCGGCTCCCCATCCTGCCCACACTGCTCACCACCCTGGAGGTGAGCCTCCGCCTGAAGCACAACCTGCATTTCACCGAGGCCGCGCTGCACCTGCTCCTCACCCTGGCTCGCACCCAGCAGGTAGGGTGCTAGCCCGGTTGGCTTGTGCGCCCCGGTTCCGGGTCCCAGAAGCTGGGGCTTGGCCACGGGGTTTGTGGCTACAGGCTCTGCTCGGGTGGTGATGGGGGGTAGGCAGGGCAGGGCAGGCTCGGCTCATTCCCAATCTTTCTGTTCAGGGAGCCACGGCAGTGGCTGGAGCTGGCATCACCCAGAGCATTTGTCTGCCCCTCTTGAGCGTGTACCAGCTGAGCAGCAATGGCACAGGACAGGTAAATGCCAGGATCTGCCTGGAGCCAGGCCATTGGCCTCCAATTCCCAGAGAAAGGTGTCCTACTCCACCTCACTGCTCTAGGAGCCTGGCAGCCCCTCCCCATTCCCGCTCCTCCCCTGCCCTCCCCTGACCTCCCCTCCCCTGCCCTCCCTTCCCCTCCCCTCCCCTCCTGTGTGCAGTGTAGTAGTGGCCTGGAGTCTTCCCGCCCTTGGCAGGCCACTAGCACTCAGCTCAATTGCTGGCACCAACAAATAATAAATTCAGCTTGACAGACGATGGACTTCACCAAACCAAGTTGAAAAGAGGCCCCTAGGGCTAGCTTCAATCTCAGCTACTGTCCCCACTCTCCCTCCCAAAGGTAGTGCCCACTGCAGCTCCTCGGCCCCAGCCCCTCTATCCTCCTTTATCTCTGTTTATGAGGGGTCTTCTAGGCTCCAGTCCTTACTCTCTCCCTCACTGTCTTTGGACAGAATCATGCATATACGCTGCTCAGCCCAGCAGCCCTTGCAGGGTGTACATGGAGAGTATCAAAGGGGCCCATGAGGGGCAGGGCAGGGACATCACTGGTGAGTGGCAGACCCAAGTCTAGAACCCAGGATCCTGTACGTGCACGAGTGCTCTCCGCTGGCCCTGTAGCCGCCGGTGATAGCTGCTCCCACCCCACAAGGACCTTCCTTCCAGCCACCAGGCTGCTAGGAGGCCTTGTCCTATGCGCAGCTGCCATTTGTTTCAGACACCCAGCGCCTCTCGGAAGGCCCTGGATGCCCCCTCCTGGCCGGGGGTCTACCGCCTGTCCATGTCCCTGATGGAGCGGCTGCTCAAGACTCTGCGCTACAACTTCCTGACAGAGGCCCTGGACTTCATGGGCGTCCACCAGGAGCGGACCTTGCAGGTGAGCCGCCCTGCCAGTGGCCAGACACGAGCACTGCGTGGAGTAGAGCCAGCCCTCCGGCTGGCTTCTGCCGTGAAAGGCAGTAGAGGCATGGTGGGTCCTTCTCTGCCCCCCCCCCCCCTTGTTTCCCCAGTGCCTCAACGCGGTGAGGACCGTGCAGAGCTTGGCCTGCCTGGAGGAGGCAGACCACACCGTGGGCTTCATTCTGCAGCTGTCACACTTCCGGAAGGAGTGGCACTTCCACCTGCCTCAGCTCATGTGTGATGTCCAGGTGGGGCGAGCAGCGCCTAGGGGCCGGGCTGGGGTGCGGACGGCCGAGGAGTGGAAAGCTGGGCTTGGGAGTTGGGCCTGAGTTCAGGGGGTGAGCAGAGGCTGCTGCCACGTGCTGTGAATGACCCTGCGAAGTCATTGCACACAGGGCCTGTTGGGAAACAAACACGGGAACAGTCATGGCCACCTTCTTCATTTACTTCGGCCCTTATAATCTTCCCAGCACGTGGCCGGTCCAAGGGAAGCAGTCACAGCACACTGCACCTTTGGTTGGCTAGGTGGATGGTGGGGGCCACCACTAAGAGCTTGTGTCGCTCCCGTGTCCCAGGTAAACCTGGGCTACCTGTGCCAGGCCTGCACCTCCCTCCTGCACAGCCGCAAGATGCTCCAGCACTACCTGCAGGTAACCACCCCTTGCCCGTCAGACTCAAGAGTGCCATTGGTGACCCCTCGGGCTCCTCTTCATGTCTTCCTCTCCCCAGAACAAGAATGGGGATGGCTTCCCCTCAGCTGTCACCCCCCGGGCTCAGAGGCCACCTGCCACTGCCGCTCCTGCTGCTCCCTCGAGCTCCACCAAGCAGCCCGCCGCTGACACAGAGGCCGCCGAGCAGCGAGCCGTGTACACGGTCCAGTGCGGCCTTCTCAAGATCCTCAGCAGGACCCTCGCAGCTCTGCGCCACTTCACCCCGGACGTCTGCCAGATCCTGCTGGATCAGGTACTGGCTGCTTGCCAAGCCCGTGGCCAGCCTGGAATGGGGCCTTGGTGCTGTGCTGTGCTGTGCAGCTCTGGAGAGCAAGTGGGGCCCTCCAGGCCTCCCAGCACTGTGCCCTTGCCTTGCAGTCCCTGGATCTTGCGGAGTACAACTTTCTGTTTGCCCTGAATTTTACCACGCCCACTTTCGACTCGGAAGTAGCGCCCTCCTTTGGGACCCTGCTGGCAACCGTGAACGTGGCCCTCAACATGCTTGGTGAGGTACGCTGGCCTGCCACTTCCAGTGATGGGCCTGAGCTTCCCCAAGCCCGGGCCTCTTCTTGTTAAAGTGAGGCTGCAGGCCCTTCCCAGAGGACTTAGTGAGGACCACCTGCCCTGGTGACTGGAACTTTCTACTATTATCTGGTTTGAGGGTTTTTTTTTTGGTCAGTTGTGGGGCTTGAACTCAGGGCTCAGGCTAGCGTTGTACTTCTGGTGTGTTTTTTTTTTTTGTCGGTCGTGGGGCTTGAACTCTGGCCGTGGGCGCTGTCCCTCAGCTCTTCAGCTCAAGGCAAGCACTCTACCATTTGAGCCACAGCGCCACTTCCAGTTTTCTGGTGGTTTATAGGAGATAGAAGTCTCACAGTCTCTCCTGCCCAGGCTGGCTTTGAACCGCGATCCTCAGATCTCAGCCTCCTGAGTAGCTAGGATTACAGGCGTGAGCCACCAGCGCCCAACTGTACTTCTGGTTTTTGAGTAGTTAATTGGAGATGAGTCTCATGGACTTGCCTGCCCAAGCTGGCTTTGAATTGCTAACCTCAGATCTCAGCCTCCTGAGTAGCTAGACAGGCGTGAGCCACCCGCACTCAGGTGTTTTTTTTTTAACTGCTAGCTTCTCTTCCTCTAGCTGGACAAGAAAAAGGAGCCCTTCACTCAGGCCGTGGGGCTCAGCACACAGACAGAAGGGACCAGAACATTCAAGTAAGACCTGGGGTGGGGGGCTCACGGCCGTGCCACGGGCAGCAGCGCGGCCCTGAGCAGCCGCGCCAACCCTGCCTTCCCCCAGGTCCCTGCTGCTGTTCACCATGGAGAACTGCTTCTACCTGCTCATCTCCCAGGCCATGCGGTACCTTAGGGACCCCGCGGTGCCCCCGCGGGACAAGCAGCGCATGAAGCAGGAACTCAGCTCAGAGCTGGTGTGCTGGGGAGAGGCTGCGGGGAACGGGGAGGGAGGTACTGCCGGCCGGCCCTGGGCTGGGGACTGTGGCCCTGGGTGCCGGGCCTCACCAAGCCGCTGTTTTTCTCCTAGAGCACACTGCTTTCCAGCCTCTCACGCTACTTCCGCAGGGGAGCCCCCAGCTCCCCTGCTGCCGGTGTCCTGCCCTCCCCCCAGGGCAAGTCCACTTGGGTCTCCAGAGCCAGCCCCGAGAGTCAGGAGCCTCTGATCCAGCTGGTGCAGGCCTTCGTCCGACACGTGCAGAGATAGAGCGCCCGCGTGCTGTGCCTGCTGTCCCACCAGCCGCCCGGCAGCCGGGGCAGAGGACACTGCCGAGCCGGCGCTGCACAGCTCCCTGCGCCCTCTCCCAAGCGGCTTCCGGCACCCTCTCCCAAGCACTGCACTCCCACCGCCTGCCCCCGAGGTTATTTTTGTAATGGATCAAGAGGGGAACAGCAGGGGCAGGGGCAGGGGTCTACTTGCTGGGGGCTCAAGGTCAAGCATTCCTACAGCCTGTGGGCAACCAGGGGCTCACTGGGGTGCACCGGGGGGCCTGCCCTCCAGGATTGGCTGTGTGTGGGTGTGAGGGTTTTCCATGGTCTGTTCTTGCAGTTTTTGGTAATACTGTGGTCTATTTATACAAATATTAAAGAACTGTTTATAGACAAGCGTCCTGGGTCTTCAGAGCCCAGCCAAGGACACATTTGAGTCTTGGACAGCAGTGCTGGCTGGGAGAGCCATCCTACAAGGGACTGGCTGGTGGATGGCTTGCTCCTTCCCCTCCCTCCTCCTCCATCCTTGGTGGGAGGTCCCAGGCGCCGCCTTCTCCCTTGGCCATGCAGCGGCCTCTGCTTGCTCCGGGCTCTTCATCCCCAGGTGCAGCCTTTCTGCTTTATAGCGCTGAACCTGCCTACCCTGTCCAGAACGCCCTCTGTGCAGGAGGCTGGACGCCCTGGGGTGCATGCTGACACCTCTAGTCAGGCGTGACTCTGCCTGCCATCTGCTTATCTTCCCCCACTGTGAAGCCTGGCTGCTTAATTCTGGGCATACTGGGAACACAGGCTCTGGCTTCCAGTGCTCGCCCCCTTGGGCAAATGAATACTACAGTCCACCCCAAGGTCCAAACTTAGGGAAGACAGGCACAAAATGTTTTATTGTGCAGCTGGGAATCGTGCTGCTGAGAGAGGCCGTGCTGCGGCGGCTCCAGCACTGAGCCAGACAGAAGCATGGACGACTCGCACACAAAGGACGCTTTATTCGCCACTGGCTAGAGAGCAAGCAGACAGGTGGAAGTAAAAATACCAGTTAAAAAGTGAGCGTGGAAGGCAGCAGCCACGCCTTGGCTGGGCTCCATGGCGGGGACGGGCAGCACCAGGCAGCGCTGCTTTAGCCTGGCCGCAGTGCGGCCCGGCCCAGCCCTGCCCTGCCCCTCAGGGATGCGCCCTGCCTGCTTGCTGCCCCTCGGCCTTTGGCAACTAAAAGGCAGGTGCTCTCTCCATGCCAAGGGTGCCTCCAGCAGGTCTTGGGCCCACTGCGGTGCCGAGCAGTGCTCCTCCCACCTTTGGGGGAGGCGGGGAGGACTGGGGTGCGCAGGGGGTGCAGCCATGGCCGGGGCTTCAGAGCCACATCAGAAGCAGGGCTGGCGGAGGGGCAGGCATTCAGCCGTGGGTCCCTCACAGCCAGATGATGGTGCATGGGCAGGATGGGGTTCATCTCCACCCTGAGCAGCTGTCACCAACAGACCAGCTAGGTGGCAGGCCTGCTTAGCTGAGCAGTTCCAAGTAGGTGACGGGAACTTTGCCCTTCTTGTTGCCTCTTTCACCAATGAGCCAGTCGGGGTCCATGCCAGGCAGGCTGTAGACAGTGATGAGCTAGGGAGGAGCAGAGGAGAGCTCAGCCTGCCGGGTCCCACAGCTGCCATCTGCAGCCGCACAGGGGGTCCCCTCCCCCTTCCCCCGGGGCCCCTGAGATCCCACCCTTCCCCCCCAGAGCCCTTGTGGCATCAGGCCCACCTCATCGGCCAGCAGGGCCAGCTCACTGCTGTCGGCAGCCTCGTAGTCGTAGAGCACCCTGGCCTTGCGGGTCCCGCTGGCAGGGGGCGCCACCTCTTCCAGGCACAGTGGGGCTTCTCCCGCAGGAGCCAGGCTGGCCACCTGGGGCACTGTGGGCATAGTGGCGGCGGCGGTGGTGGGCGAGGTGCTGCTCAGGGGTGGGGAGGCAGGCTCTGTAGTGCCCACAAAGGTGCCTGGAAATCTAGAGAGGGGGGAGAGCATGACTCAGCAGCTAGAGCCAGCCCACGGGGTACCTTGGCCCCCTAGGTCAAGACCCCTCCCAGTCAGAGGCTGCACCGCATCTACTCACATGGCACCCTCCGAGCTGGCAGCACAAAGGGAAAAGCAAAGTGAGGGAGATGAGTAGTCCCATCCCCCAAGGTCCACCCGAGGGCCCAGGTGGAGCTCCAGAGCCACCCCTCCATTCCAGCGGTGCCCCGGGGCTCCCTGCCTGGCCGCACCTGCCCAGCTGCTTCTGCAGGTCCAGCATGTGGCGGTAGCACTGCGCGTAGTAGGTCGTCTGGGACTTGACAAACTCGTGGAGGCAACGAAGGTGGTTCACCTGGGGACGAGGCCAGAGCTGTGGCCCTCACTTCCTGTCCCCGGGTGGGCGTGTCCCCGAGGCCCTGGCTTTTTGTGTGCCCATGCTGGCCTCCCTGGGCATGGGGCGCCACTCACGTGAGTGCTGCTGATGCCCTCCAGCAGGAGACGTGTCACTTCTGCCTGCCGGTCAAACTCGGTCTGGGCCACCCGGAGCTCCTGCTCAGCCTGGTGGGAGGGGGCGCGATGTGGGTGCACGGCAGTGTGGCTGGGCCCCGAGCCCGGGGCCCCATGGCCCACCCTCCATGAGCAGATACCTGGGGGCACCCTGACTTCATACCCGGAGCTAGCTGGTGGGGGGCCCTGGGGCACCTGCAGATGGGAAGACTCCCCCAAGGTCTTTCTGTGCTATGAGGCTGTGGAGTGGCCTTTCCCACCGAGGGGAAGCTGAGGCCCGTGGAGGGAGATAGCACCGAGTGTAGAGCCAGAAGCACGTGGGACAGCAGGTACGGCCAGCCTCCAGCCCCACTGCCAGCCCTTTGCCCCCCGGAACCCGACTCACCTTGTCTACTTCGTCATTCCAAAGCTGGGGAGACCACAACAGCACCGGGCAGCAGGGGAGGGATGGTGGACACTGGTCAGCCAGGAAGGAGGGACAGCGCACCCCAGAGCCCATGCTCTGCCCCAGCTCCCGGGGACCCCACTGCTGCCCACCGTGCCCTCTGCCCTCCCCCAGCCCGGAGCTGAGGCTGAGATGAGAGGCCTGGCGTGCGGGCCGGAGGTGACAGTGTGACGAACGTGCCACATGCAGGGAGGGGACAGCCAGCGGGACGTCCTGCTTGTGCTCCTGCGTGTCCACCCCTCCCGCCCAGTGCCCGCCCCGCACTGCCTCCTGCCACGGGGCCGGGCACTGAACCTTTCCGTCCTCCGGCAGAGAAAGGCAGCCTCGGGCCTGAGCCACACTGGGGGTCAGTGGTAAAAGAAAAAAACAGGGCGGCCTCCACCCTCCAGGGTGTTTCTCCTTCCACTCGGCCCGGGGAGGGGGGCGGGGCACGCCATCCAGAGTCTAGAGAAGAAAGACCCCCCTCCCCGCATCGTGACTTAGGAGACCCACTGCCCCCGGCGCGCATGGAAGTCTGAACTGGGACACCGCAGCTGGAGAAGCTGAGCCAGGCCAGCTGCGCCTGTGGGCACCGCACCGGAAGCCCGGAAAGCGGCCCAGAGCCAAGTGCGGCCGACACCCACGCACGGCAGGACGGCACGACGCCCCCAGCGGCAGGCTCGGACACGAGAGCCACGGGGCCACCATGGAACCCCTCTCACCCCGGGAGATGGAGGCAGAGGACGGCCAGTGTGAGCCTGCATGTGTGTGTGTTGCGCGCATGCGTGCGTGCCAGGCTTCCCGCACCGACAGAGGAGCTCATGACCAAGCACAAGGCCTCCGTCCCCCCCGCAGCCTGTCTGTGGTCAGTGCAGCCCTGCCTGTGCGGGACCCCACCGGGCCTGGCACACGCTCGGCTCACTAGTAGGTGCTCCCCAAAGGGGGCTGGCTAAAGCCTACTGAGGATTCTGCTGGGCCACACTCGGTCCTTGCTAGGCGTCGGACCCCCACGCAGGGTGGGGGCAGCCCCTGACGTCCGCGGGGACATCACAGCCACAGCCCAGCCACAGCCGTGGGGCGCCAGGACAGGCTGTGGCAGCAGCATGTGAGTGCGGGGCCTCTCGGAGGCCTGGGGGGCGGGGCTCCACCTCACCTGCGGCCTCCCGGGCCAGGGCCAGGGCGGTGGGGGAGGCAGACGGGAAGGGGGGCGCTTACCGCAGAGGCGCTGGCCGAAAGAATGTAATTACGAGGTCTAGTCTCCTGAAAGTCAGGCACCGTCTGGCGGGGAACAGAGTTCATGGGGGAGGCAGTCACCCTGGGCCACGGCTGGGTGGAGGCCAGGAGGCGTCCCAGAGCCTCCTCCCAGAGGATGCCAGGGCCCTGGCCCCAGGGACGGGAGGATGCTCCGATACAACGCGGACCCTCTGGCACCCCCTAGCCAGCTGGGGCTGGGACGGCAGCCCTGCGGGTCTGTGTGGCAGGCAGCCGGGCCACAGGCTGGCCGCCCTCCTCCCTGCACCCCGGCACACCCCAGCTCCCTCTCAGCAACCCCTCCCTCCCCCAGCTCTCAACATCCCAGAATCCGCACACGGCGCCTGGCTCTGCGAGGAGGCCACGCCCCTCCCCACCGGGGTGGACAAATGGACGCATGGATGGACAAAGGGACAGGCATTGACATTTGCAAGAAGCTGTCTCACAGGCCCTGAGGGCTGCACCCCTCAAGCCAGAGGGACCCCACAGGGCAGCAGAGGTGCTGGGGGTGGAGCCCAGCTGATTGCAAAACGCCGAGGGTGCACCGGAGCCGGCTGGGGCCCTGGGGCCCTGGGGCCCGAGGGCGGGCGGCGGGTGGACCAGAAGCGGCACAGCGCGGGGCGGGGATACTCACATCTCCCTCACACTGGCCAAGTTACCCAAGCAGAACAGAAAGGAACAAAAACAGAGAGTTAGTGAGCACACAGCGCAAGCGCAGAGACCCTGGCCTGGGGGCGGGGGAGGGGTCCTGGGGTGCGGCATAAGGGTGTCCACTGGCTACCCCCAGTACAGTCCTGAGGAGCCGAATCCACGGGTGCCCGTGCCTGGACGGGGTTCTTGGTGCCCTAGGGGACAAGAGGCGGTGCCCGGTGGGGCGGGGACTCGGGGGGAGCGGTCTGGGGTGACAGCAAGAGGCTGCCACCCAGGTCCCGTCCATGTGTCATGTGTGTGTCCCAGCAGCCACAGGTCCCGCCCTGCATCTGGAGCCCACACACCTGCGTGGGGTGACACCAGTGGTGGCAGAGACCCCACTGTGGCCCCCGGGAGACTCCAGAGGCTGTGTGCAGCCAGGATCCCCTAGAGGAGGGGCTGGCCTGGTCTTTGCTTGGGCACCGAGGGGCCCAGCAGGCAGAGGTAGCCGTTGACCCCTGGGTCACAGAGCAGCCCGGCAAGCCCAGAGGGCTGCTCCCCAGACCCAGCTCTCCCACACCTGGCCTACTCTGGTCACGCCAACCCTGGTCACGCCAAGCTCCTGGGCCTGGCAGGGCTGCGAATAAAGGCGGAGCCGGGTGGGCCAGGCCCCGCCCCTCAGCCCCTGGCTGGGCCGCAGGGCTGTCAGCTCTGGTGTCCGACACCAGGATGGGGGCCTGCGCATGGCCCCGCCGGGGGTTCAAGCAACGGGGCAGTTAGTAGTAGGAGCGAGCGGGGGCGGGGCAACACAGGGCGGGCAGAGCGTTGGGGGGGAGGCGGGCATGACATGCGAACACCTCTAGCTGGGAAGCACTGCAGTCCATAGAAGCCCTCCCTGCGGCCACCATGGCTCCCTTGGAGTAGAGAGAGAAATGCGAGCCAGAGAGGCAGAGAGGCCGCGTGTGCCCCAACCCAATCCCCGGCCGGAGGCAGCGGGGACAGTGCCCCAACCCAATCCCCGGCCGGAGGCAGCGGGGACACCTACGGTGGCTTTGGCCTCCGCAGCCTTGGCCTTCTTCAGCCGCGCCTTGCAGGCGTCCAGGTCCAGGCGCCGGTTCTGAAGGAGCCGCCTCTCCTTCTGCGGATGGACGGCGACCGTGAGGCCCGGCCTGGCCCCGGGAGACCCCGGAGCACGGCCCGGCCTGGCCCCGGGAGGCCCCGGAGCACGGCCCGGCCTGGCCCCGGGAGGCCCCGGAGCACGGCCCGGCCTGGCCCCGGGAGACCCCGGAGCACGGCGCCTCCCCAGGCCGCCTCTCACAGAGGCCTCACCGCAATGATCTTCCAGTCCCCTTCCAGGAAGTTGCGCAGGGGCGTGAGGAAGCTGATGGAGGCTGTGTGGATGAAGTCCCGCTCGGCGGCTCCCAGGCGCTTCTCAGCTTCAGACACTTTGATCAGGGTCTTCCCTGAGGAAACATGGAAGGCGGAGGGGAGTCAGGGGTGAGGGAGAGACGAGGCCGCACAAGGACAGAATGGCTTTGCTGGCCAACGGTGGCCGCCTACCCCTCCGTCAGCCTCCAGTGGAGGACTGACAATAGTGCACAAACAACGACACACTGTGTCCATTCATTAGATTTAGATTTAGGGGCTGTGCATGGTGGCACCTGCCTGTAATCCTAGCACTGGGGAGGCTGAGACAGGAAAATCAAGAATCCCTAGCTAGCTACTCAAGAGTCTACGATCTGAGGATTGTGGTTTAAAACCAGCAGAAAAGTCCATGAGACTCTTATCTCCAATAAACTACTCAGAAAAAGCCAGAAGTGGCGCTGTGGCTCCACTGGTAGAGTGATTGAGCAAAAAGCTCAGGGACAGCGGCCAGGTCCCAAGTTCAAGCCCCAGGATCCGCACCGAACAATTGGAGAGCAGCCTGGGCTAAAGAGATACCACCTTAGTATGTAGAAAAAGACAAGGGAAGATTTTGGGGGTGTTGCGGATGTGGCTTCACGGGATGACATTTGCCTAACACACGAGACACTGCGTGCCACCCCAACAGCACACGCACATGCGCACACACACACACACAAAACAACTGGAAGAGGCTTCCAGAATGACAGAGAAAGGAGCTTGAGAAATCCTCTCCAAGATACAACCATCACAAAGATCTAACTCAAGGCTCTGGAAACTGACCAAAGGCAAAACACAAAACCCGTCAGTTTCAAAGGGGAGGGGAGGACTGGGTGGGCCAGTCCTCTAGCGGCTCAGGCTCAGGCGGTGCGCCAGCTGTGCTGACTGGGTTTGGGCAGAAGAGGAGGAAAAGCCAGGGCAGGCAGGGGGAGGCTGGCAGAGGAGCCGTGCCCAGCAGAACGGACAAGGCACATGTGAACAAGCTCCCAGCTGCTCCTGGGGTCTGGAAGGCGGGGCGCAGTCGGGACAGGCGGCCGAGAACCCAGCTAGCTACTCACCTGTGGCCAGATCGGAGGCCTTGCAAACTCAGAGTCACAGCTGGCACACCCGGGAGCTGCCTGAGCCTTGAATGTGTTCCCTAATGCCCACGTCCGTGGCAAAGCCCCCTTCGGGGTACAAGATGGTTAAGCACAACCTCTGACCAAGACTGGCTGGATACTAACCTGCACAGACACTAACCTTGCTTAGGAGCTACACTTGAAAAGAAAAATGCCACATGCAGTTGCTCACATCTGTAATCTCAGCTGGTCAGGAGGCTGAGAGCCCAAGGATCACAGTTCAAGACCCGTATGGGGGGGGGATTGTCAAAGCCTTGTCTCAACCAATAATAATCTGTTCTATGCCTGTCACTATAGATTACCCTGAAGTAGAAACAGGAGGCTCAGCCCTAAGTTAAAAATCCAGGATTAATTTTTTTTTTTTTTGGGGGGGGGGGCCGGTCGTGGGACCTGAACTCTGGGCCTGGCGCTGTCCCTCAGCTCTTCAGCTCAAGGCTAGCGCTCTACCACTTGATCACAGCACCACTTCTGGCTTTTTTCTTTTTGCTTATGTGGTGCTGAGGAATCGAACCCAGGGCCTTGAGCATGCAAGGCAAGCGCTCTACCACTGAGCCACCTTCCCAGCCCAGATTAAAAAATTTTTAAAGCATAAAAGATGATTCAACAGAAATAGTTGAAATTTTCCATACTTCACTCTCAATAAATACGACCAATCAAGTCAGCAAGGATATAGAAAACTCAGAACGCAATCATCCTAGCTTGCCAGCCATCTAGTGCTTCTCCATACAGCAACATAATACAGTCTTGTACAGGGTACTTCTAGCGGGCTATGGAACATTCCTGCACAGCCCCTAGGAGAGATCATAAAACACACCACAGGTTTAAAAGACTGAGACCTATAAAATGTCCCTTGCCCTTCATGAAATTAGGAAACAACCAAAGGAAATCAGGGAAAATCCCCAAATATCTGAAAGTGAAAAGCACACTACTGAGAGCATATAGAACCACACAGCTACTCTGGGACGTGGTGTGGCCGTTGCTTAAAAGATAATGTGCACTGGCTCACGCCTATAATCCTAGCTACTCAGGAGGCTGAGATCTGAGGATCACAGAAGCCAGCCCAGGCAAGGAAGTCCACGAGACTCTTATCTCCAACTAAATACCAAAACAGAAGTGGAGCTGTTGCTCAAGGTAGAACGCTAGCCTTGAGCAAAGAGCTCAGAGAAGCTGGGCACCTGTGGCTCATGCCTGTAATCCTAGCTACTGAGGAGGCTGAGATCTGAAGATCACAGTTCAAAGCCAGCCCGGGCAGGAAAGTCTGTGAAATTTTTTTTTTTTTGGCAGTTGTGGGGCTTGAACTCTGGGCTTGGGTGCTGTCCCTGTGCTCTTTAGCTCAAGGTGAGCACTCTATGGCTTGAGCCACAGCGCCACTTCTGGTTTTCTAGTGGTTTTATTGGAGATAAGAGTCTCACGGACTTTCCTGCCCAGGCTGGCTTTGAACCGCGATCCTCAGATCTCAGCCTCCTGAGTAGCTAGGATTACAGGCGTGAGCCACCAGCGCCCGGCTAAAACTGTTTCTTTTTTTTTTTTGGGGGGGGGGGGTCCGGCTAAGTCTGTGAAACTCTTATCTCCAATAAAACACTAGAAAACCGAAAGTGGTGCTGTGGCTCAAGAGGTAGAGTGCTTGCCTTGAGCTGAAGAGCGCAGGGGCAGCGCCCAGACCCAGAGTTCAAGCCCCACAACCGACCAAAAAAAAAAAAGCTCAGAGACAGCGCACTCAGGCCCTGAGTTCAAGCCCCACTTATTAAAAAAAAGGGCAGGGAAGCTGGCACAGGTGCTAGTGGCTCACACCTGTTATCCTAGCTATTTAGGATAACTCTTCTCTCCAATAAACCACTCAGAAAGCCAGAAGTGGAGCACTAGCTCAAATGGTAGAGCGCTATCCTTGAGCTGAAGAGTTCAGGGACAGCACTCAGGCCCACAGTTCAAGACCCACGATTGACCCCCCCCACCAAAAAAAAAAAAAAAAAGCAGGGAATGTGGCTTAGTGGTAGAGTGCTTGCCTAGCACGGTGCGCTGGGCACTGGGTTCAATTCCTCAGCACCACATAAACAGAAAATGCCAGAAAGGCACTATGGCTCAAGTGGTAGAGTGCTAATCTTGAGCAAAAAAGCAGCTCAGGAACAGTGCCCAGGCCCTGAGTTCAAGCCCCAGAACTAAAAAAAAAAAAGTTAATGCAAATGTGTCATAGAACTCAGCAGTTCTGTGCCCCACAAAGCTTCTCCGTGGACGTTCACAGAGTACTAATGCATCCAACCAAAGCCAAATGTATGTCTGTACAGCGGAATATTACCTAGCAATTTAAAGGAATGAAGTCCTAAAACCAGCAATGAACGAACTTCAAAAATACCATACCAAGAAAACAAATGCACTACAATGAAAGTAACAATACCTGAGGTGAAATGCTCACAAAAGACAAACCAGATCAAGAAAATATGAGTGGTCAGTTGGGAGTGGGAACAGGAATTAATCAGAAATGGACAAGAGAGACGTCTGCAGTGATCAGAATGTTTTGTTCTTCTTTTGGTGGTACTGGGGTCTGAATTCATCATCTGCCTGCTACCCACTAGGCTGGAACTCTACCAGTGGGGCCTTGCCTCCAGCCCTGCTTTTTACTGGTTATTTTGGAGATGGAGCCTTGTCAACTCTTTTCCTCCACTGGCCTTGAACTGTGATTTTCTGGATCTCAGGTTCCTAAGTAGCTGATTGTGAGCCATCAGCACTCACATCTCCACATACGAAGATGCTTGTATAACTCCATAAATTTACTGAAAATCACTGAATTGTACATTTAGGTCAGATATTACATTATAGTACATCACGTGTACTTCGGGAAGATTACAGGAAAAAGGAAAATTGGAGTGGTCAGGAAGCACCACTGTGAAGAGATTTCTGCAGTTGTGGAATGTTGATGTAACCTCATCCCACTGAAAAGCACCCAGGACTGGCCATGAAGCGCAGCGCTAGAGTGCTCGCTCACAGCAGCAGTGCTCGCAGCAGTAGAGTGCCTGCAATGATAGAGTGCTCGCTCACAGCAGTAGAGTGCTCGCAGAGGCAGAGTGCTCTCAGTGGTAGAATGTTTGCAGTGATAGAGGGCTCGCTCACAGCAGCAGTGCTCGCAGCAGTAGAGTGCTTGCAGTGGTAGAGGGCTCGCTCACAGCAGTAGAGTGCTCACAGCACTAGAGCACTTGCTCTTGGTGGCAGAGTGCTTGCAGTGGTAGAGGGCTCGCTCAAATGGTAGAGAATCCTTGCTCACAGCAGTAGAGTGCTCACTCACAGTGGCGGAGTGCTCGCAGCAGTAGAGTGCTTGTTCCCAGTAGTAGAGTGCTTGCTCATAGCAGTAGAGTGCTGCCTTGCAGTGGTACAGTGCTCACTCGCAGTGGTAGAGTGCTTGCCCAGAAGCCTGAGGCTCCAGGTCTTACTTCTGACAACCCTTCCCCCCAGACCCCACCGCGGGCTAGGGGAAGGGGAGGGTTCTATCATCTCTTGTCCCGATGGCAGGGTTCACATTCAGAAGGACTGCGGGTGTTAAATTAAGGTACAACCCAGGTACAATTCAGAAGAAATAGGAGGGCGGGAGGGAGGCTGGGGGGAAGGAGGGAGACCCGGCCCTGTACCCAGCCGGCCGCAGGGCTCACCGTAGGGCGTGGTGGGGCCCAGCTCGCCGGCCGCCTCCGCCATGTACTGGGCCAGCAGCTCCCCGTTGGTGACGCGCGAGGGCACCTTCCTGTCCAGCTTCTCGTACAGGAACTCCTCCACCCGGGCACCTGTGGGAAGACAGCAGCCGAAGCGATGGGCGTCCTGGCTCAAGCACAAAGTCCCAGCGGCAGACCCCAGCCGAGCCCTGCCCATACCGGTGGCCTCTGAAATGGTCTCATCTCCACACACATCAAGACTGGTTCCATGAACCGTCACTGGCCTGGAAGCGAAGGCCCAAAGCCAAGAGGGCCTGGCACACGCCACCCAGCCAGGCGCTCGTGAGCGGGTCCCTCCCTTCCCTGTAGGCAGCAAGGCTAACAGCACCGGATGCACCTGGAACAGTGGCCGGGTCTCCACCCCAAGCCCTCTCTGACACTTCCACGGTGAGCACAGTGGGCACGGGCTTGGCTCGGCCCACGCACAGGCACGCGCATGCGCACTCACTGGGGTTGGGCTGCAGCAGCACCTCCGTCTGCCTCAGGATCCGCTCTGTCCAGTTCTTGGTGCTGTCCGCCCGGGCCAGGAGGTTTTCAAAGTGGGCATCGAGCTCGGTCTTCTCGGCCTGCCCAAATTTCTCCTCTGTGAACTGGAGGCGAAGGGGAGAGCTTAGAAGGAGGCTGGGGTGAGGGAGGACTCCAAGCCAAGGCCTTCACGGGCCACCAAGTTGCACCCACACTGGGCCTGGGCTGCTCTTCGGTGGAACGAGGGGGTGGGGTGGAACTTGGTAGCGAGTGTCCAAGGAAGAAATGAAGGGGAAGCGAGCCAGGGCACTGAGTGGGAATTCAGCTTCCAGAATCAGAGGGACCTGCATCAAGCCTCGATCCTGGCAGCTGTGTGGCCATCGGCATCAGTATTCTGAGCTGGTAACAGACAGAGGACTTCCCTCACTGGGCATGGTGGCACACACCTGTAATCCCAGCTCCCATGAGGCTGAGGAAGAAGGATCATGAGCTGGCGGCACAGCTGGCGCCTGCTTCTCGGGTGGGCACAGAGCTGGTGTGCTGCGGACGGGGAGTGTGCGGGGAGGGCGTGCAGCTGCTGGGCACAGAGCTGGTGTGCTGCGGACGGGGAGTGTGCGGGGAGGGGGGGAGGGCGCGTGTCTGCTTGGCCACTGGCCACTGGGAGTGGTGGAGGGGGAACATGGCCACCCTGTCAGAGCCATCCCCCGGGTGTACCTGCAGGGCAAGGGGTCACACAGGTCCCCACCCAAGCTGGCGGGAGCCATGCAGGAGACCTAGGAAACAACCACAAAGTGGCCTATGCCGCAGCTCTCTGATCTAGAAAGGTCCAGGGACAAATGTCCCAAACTAACAGGGCTGCCCGGGCCTTGTCCAACTATGGGGCCGGGGCCTGCCCAGCGTCAGGGGAAAGAGGAATAGTGAGGACTCTCAGGGACTGCCACAGACCCTGTGCAGGCCGGGGCCGGGGCCAGGGTGATGTCCCAGGCGGGGCCAGGCTCCTGCCTTACAGTGGCCACCAGAGGTGAGGGCAGGAGGCGTGCGGCTGCAGGGTCAGCCCTGGCTGGCAGGCTGGAGGCCCTGACGACTCATCCAGAGGCCATGGAGGGCTCTAGAGCAGGTGCGTGCGCAGCCAGCACCGCCCAGCTACTCCAGCCCCTCGGGCTGCTCACAAAGCTTGCTTCTGCTAGGCAGCCATCAATTATGCAGCAGGACTTGGGTTTCTCCTGCTAAGCCCTGCCAGGCAATTGGCCCTGGCCGCCTCGCCCTCCCTGCCCCTCCCCCCCCAGCTGGGGGCTGGCTTGGCCCTGCCTTCCCCATCACCCTGCTCCAGGCCGCCCCCATCACCCTGCTCCAGGCCGCCCCCATCACCCTGCTCCAGGCCGCCTCCATCACCCTGCTCCAGGCCGCCCCCATCACCCTGCTCCAGGCCGTCTCCACAGGGCCCACTCTTGCACTGGGCCAGGTCCCCCCCTCACCCAGCATTTGAGGAGAGTGCAGGGAGCCCCATTTTGCAGATAAAGAAATCAAGGTTCAGAGAGGCAAAGCCACCTCTCTGAGCCTGTTTCCCTGGAGAATGCCCACAGCCAGTGCACGGTAGGGGCTGGATAGAAGTGCTTTTTTCTTGTTTGTTGGGGGTAGGAGGCTCATCTACTCGAGGCTCCATCACCGAGCCACAGCTAACCCAGGCTGGAGCCATGTCAGCTGAGACCATCAGCTCCATACAGGCCTTCCTGGGGCCCCGCTGGCTACCAGCCGAGACCTTAATGCACTAGTGGTGTGGCCCTAAATGTGTACTTCAGCACAGCCTCACCTGGCCAAGGTGAGGGCAGGGCCGCCCGGCCAGCCCCTGGCCCTCACTGCCCGTCAGCCCAGGCGAGGCTCTCCCAAGCTTGCCCGAGCAGCGGGCAGCCATCCCTTGCCCACTGTCTGACTAGGATGATGGCAGTGACTGGCCCTCAGCCACCCCCACGCCCCAGCCCACGGCTGCGGTTACAACCAAGTCTGAGCAGCATGGCCACCACGCCCGCCCCCCCCCATGCTGCCACCACGCCCCCCCCCCATGCTGTCACCACGCCCGCCCCCCCCATGCTGCCACCACGCCCCCCCCATGCTGCCACCACGCCCCCCCCATGCTGCCACCACGCCCGCCCCCCCCATGCTGCCACCACGCCCCCCCCCATGCTGCCACCACGCCCCCCCCATGCTGCCACCACGCCCCCCCCCATGCTGCCACCACGCCCCCCCCATGCTGCCACCACGCCCGCCCCCTGCGCTACTCCACTCTCCTCTCAGACGCCTGCTGCTTCTGCCTCTGCTGCGCCCGCGCCCCGATCGGAACCACTCCACCCTCTGGACGGCCCAGGCCGGCTTCCAAGGCCCTGCTGACTTTCTGGCACAGCCCTGGAACCCCCCTGAAAACCCCAAACAGGGATCCAGGCCTCCGGGGTCCCACCGCGGGACCAAGGCCTGCTCCTTGTGGCATGGGGGCCCAGGCAGTCAGTCTCCTCATGTTGTGTCTGGTACGCACAGGGGCTGGGCACTTCCCTAGCACACCCTGGCAAGGCGGGAGCCGCCCACATGCTGGTAATGAAGAAGCCCTCAGGCCCTGCTGGCTGCACCCCACTCACCCGCACACTCACAAGGCAGCCTGGTCCCGGGCAGGCCCCTGGGGGCCTCTCCTGCCAGGTGACACCTCAGACCCCCCCCACCCCCGGCCTTCCACCTTGTCCTTTGCCTGCCAAGGGGAAGGGGTTCTGTGCTGGAGTCCAAGCTGCTCCCAGCAAGATGGCAGCTGCAGGGGGTAGGCGGGCAGAGCAGAGAAAGCCTCTATTTATAACGTTCCCAGCTCCCTCCTCCAGCCCAGCCTGGGCCTGGCTCCCCCTCCAGTGAGTGACCTGGGGGGGGGAGGGAAGGGGGCCCCCTCCAGGCAGGGCAAGGCCACAATGGCCAGGCCAGGCCTGGGCTGTCTCTGTGAGCCTGGCCAGGTCAGGTGGCAGTCCCCTCCCCCCTCTCCAGTGGCAGGAAACTGGCAGATCAGGTTCTGCCCAGATGTGGCAGATAGCTCGGCTGCCATACCAACTGAGGAAGAGTTGCCCACCTCCCAGGTGGACTGGGGCTCTGGGGTCCCAGCACCCCCAGTGCTTTGGGCCCTTGGAGTAGCAATCCTCCAATCCTGGCTGAGACACAAATCCTCAAAGGGACACTGCGCTTTCTAGTACACATGGCCACATGAGCCTCGGAGACCCGCTGAGCTCCTCCAGGGAGACAGGAGCAGAGTCACCCACAGAGACAAGGCCAGCACAACAGGGCTGGATCCCAGCGCTCCACGGGCCCCGCCCCCCCAGGGGCTGAAGCCCACACCCAGCCGCAGGCAGACACAGCCTTACACCTGATTTACAGAAGGGCAAACTGAGGCTCAGGGAGAAGTGAGTGGCCCCCAAGGTCACAGGTAATTTAACCCAGGGAACCCCAGTAGACGCTGGTCCACTGAGGCCACTACAAAGCCCCAGGTCCTCCTCCCAGCCACCCCAAGAAAGCGGACATTCATCCCTTCTCAGGTGCAGAAAACAAGGCCCAGGGAGTGGGGGGACCGTGGAGCCCTTCCCCCAAGGTCACTGGAGGGACGCTCACACTCAGATCTGACCCTGGTACTTCACAGTGATGTTAAGTTGCCTCAGTTTCTCTCCATGAGACCAAGTAGACGGGACTGGTTTCCAATCTCAGCAGTACAGCCCCGAACAGTTTCCCAAAGTGGGCACCCAGCCAGACTGCCCCCTTCCCCCGTCCCCCCTTCGCAGCCCCTGGCCGGGGAAAGGATTGGACACAGGCCTCCCAGGGAGCAGAAAGGAAATGACTCCCGGCTTCCGGCCAGCCCGGCCAGGCCGGGGAAGGGGCGACGGGGGAGGGCCCGCACAGCGCCTGCCCACTGCACAGGTGCGGAGACTGAGGCTCGGAGGGGTGGCGACAAGTGCGCGGGGCCCGCGTGGGGGAGGGGAGCCGGTGCGGGAGGCGCGGGCGCCGGGGCCGGGCCGAGGCGGGCACCGCCGTCCCCCTCGAACGCCCGGGCCTGGCCGGAGGTGCAGCCCGGGCCGCTCCCCCGCCGGGGCTCCGCGGGGCCCCGGTGCCGCCGCCGCAGCCACCGCACGGCCGGCGCCCCGCGGGCCAGCGCCGCACACCGGCGCGCGCCGCCCGGCCGCCCCACATCCGGGCCCCCGCGTCGGCGCGGGGCCGGGCCTCACCTGCACCGCCCGGGTGAAGAAGATGCCCGCATCCGACGCCAGCTTCTTCATGTTGAAGTCCATGACGGCCGCCCGCACGCCGGTCGGAGCGCAGCCGGCAGCCCCCGGCCGCGCCGCCGCCCGCACCCCGCCCACCTGCTGCCGACCACGGCCGCCGCCAGCCCGCAGCCGCCCCGGAGCCGAGCGCAGGGCGGGGCGCGGCGGGCGCGGGGCGGGGCCTGGGCGGGCGGGGCTGGTAGATGGGCGGGGCCTGGGCGGGCGGGGCGGGGCGAGAGAGGGCGAGGCGCTCGCTGCTGCCCCCTGCAGGCCACCGCCGGACTCTCCCCTGCCTTTCCTAGAATTACTGAATCCGAAAGCACTCTTCAGCTGACAGGACGTGCACACCTTACACACACACGTATATATTATTCATGTTATATATATGATCCTTGCTATCTTGCTAATGCCTTTTGAAAAATCTTATTTTTTGTTGAAAAATAAGAGTTGCAGCTGCTCAATAGGTTCACGCCTGTAATCCTAGCAGCTCAGGAGGCTGAGATCTGAGGATCACGGTGGTTCCAAGCCAACTTGGGCAGAAAAGTCCTCGGAGACTCTTATCTCCAATTAGCCACCAGAAAACCAAAAGTGGCGCTGTGGCTCAAAGTGGTAGAACAATAGCCTTGAGCAAAAGAATTCAGGGATAGTGCCCAGTCCCTGGGTTCAAGCCCCAGGACCAACCAAAAAAAAATTGCCTATTTGATATCTGTGTTTACAATGCTTTTTATATGCCTATATTGAGCATTTACTTATAGTCGACCATTTGTTTAGCCAACAGCCAGTGTATTAGCTAACAGCCATATACCAATATCATTATAGGTCCATTCTTTATTCGATAACTCACACTGAAAAACAAAACAAAACAAAAGCTAGGCATGGGGAGGCTCACACATGAAATCCTACCTACTATGAAGGTTATGTTTCTTTTGAAACCAGCCCCAGAAGAAAAGTTCTCCAGACGCTAACCTCCAAATAACCAGCAAAAACACCAACTGAAGATATGGCTCAAGAAGAAGAGCACCAGAGCCGGGTGCCAGTGGCTCACGCCTGTAATCCTAGCTATTCAGGAGGCTGGGATCTGAGGATCACAGTTCAAAGCCATTCTGGGCAGGAAAGTCCATGAGACTCTTTTTTTTTTTGTCGGTTGTGGGGCTTGAACTCTGGGCCTGGGCGTTGTCCCTCAGCTCTTCAACTCAAGGTGAGCCCTCTACCACTTGAGCTACAGCGCCACTTTCCATGAGACTCTTATCTCCAATTAACCACTAGAAAACTGGAAGTGGTGCTGTGGCTCAAGTGGTAGAGCACTCACCTTGAGTTGAAGAGTGCAGGGACAGCGCCCAGGCCCAGAGTTCAAGCCCCACGACTGATAAAAAAAAAGAGCACCAGTCAAGCAAGCAAGGCAATAATTACTGAGGAGGCCCTAGTCCAAGCTGCAGTACAAGTAAAATAATAAAAAAAAAAGTGGGGTGCATTTAATTAGGATACATTGTATGTATGTATGGAAATATCACAATGAAACTGTTAGGGTTTGTTTTTTTTTTGGTCTGGTCAGTGGTGGGGCCTGAACTCTGGGCCTGGGCGCTGTCCCTCAGCTCTTCAGCTCAAGGCTAGCACTCTACCACTTGAGCCACAGCGCCACTTCCGGCTTTTTTTCTTATGTGGTGCTGAGGAATGGAACCCAGGGCCTCTGGCATGCAAGGCAAGCGCTCTACCACTGAGCCACCTTCCCAGCCCCTGTTAGGTTTTTAAAAAGAGGTTGCAGAGTAAGAACCACACCAAGCACATGGTATTCAGGAAGGGGTAGGTTTATTCATTGTTCTGGCTGGCACCAGGCCATGTTGGCCCTCCACACGACTGGGAAAGGCCTGGGAAAGAGAGAGAGCTGGGAAAAAAAAGAGAGTTGGGAAAAAGAAGAGAGCTAGGAAAGAGCGGGGAAAGAGAGGTGGGAAAGAGAGAAAGCTAGGAAAAGAGAGAGCCAGGAAGAGAGAGCATCTGGGCCTGGGCTAGGCCTTATCTAGGGTATGGGCGGAGAAAGGTGTGGCCACATCAAATTCAGATGTGACCTCAGCAGATGCAGATGTGACCTCTTCCAGGTGTGCCAGTTGCCACCGAGGTAACTTAGGTACTGGGTGGAGACTTTGCTGCGAGGAGGGTGGAGTCTGCTCGCCATCCAGGAGTGGACCTTACAGAAACCACCAAGTAAGGCATGCTAATAGTCTCTCTGTATATAATTTTGGTGCCACATTGCGGGTAGGAGACCTTGAACTGAGGGCCTGGCTGCTGTTCCTGAGCTTTTGGGCTCAAGGCTAGCACTCTACCACTTGGCCCACAGCTCTACTTCCTGTCTTTCAAGATGAACTGGAAATAAGACTCTCATGGACTTTTCTATCAGGGTTGGCTTCAACCATCACCCTCAAATTTCAGCCTCCTGAGTAGCTAGGATTACAGGTGTGAGCCATCAACGCTTCACCATAAGAAGTCTTTTTTGTTGTTGTTGTTTGTTGGTTGGTCGTGGAGCCTGAACTCTGGGCCTGGGCGCTGTCCCTCAGCTCTTCAGCCCAAGGTTAACGCTCTACCACTTGAGCCACAGCGCCACTTCTGGCTTTTTTCTTTTTACTTATGTGGTGCTGAGGAATTGAACCCAGGGCCTCAGGCATGCAAGGCAAGCACTCTACCACTGAGCCACCTTCCCAATCCCTCACTTATCTTTTAAAGGTGTTTAAATCATGATAAAAAGTCATTTTTTTTTTGTTTTGTTTTGTTTTTTTGTGGGTCGTGGGGCTTGAACTCTGGGCTTGGGCACTATCCCTCAGCTCTTCAGCTCAAGGCTAGCGCTCTACCACTTGAGCCACAGCACCACTTCCAAAAAGTCATTTTTTATTTACCCATAGTAACCATACTAGTGTTTTTCATTCCTTTGTAGGGATATGAGTTTTTGTTTGTTTGTTTTTTGTTGGTTGTAGGCCTTGAACTCTGGTCCTGGGCGCTGTCCCTCAGCTCAAGGCTAGGCGCTCTACCACTTGAGCCACAGCACCACTTCCGGCTTTTTTCTTTTTGCTTATGTGGTGTTGAGGAATTGAACCCAGGGCCTCATGCATGCAAGGCAAGCACTCTACCACAGAGCCAACTACCCAGCCCCTCTTTTTATTCTTTTAAGCCCTTTTGAAGTGTGCAAAGAATTGGTCTATGTGGATAAAAAGATCAAAGATAAGGGTTCTTTGGAGCTAGCTGGCTTCCAGAAAGACCAGCAAAGGACTGACAGCTCTTCCTAAACCCCCTTTAACACCAGCCCGCTCCACTCAGCTTCCTGTCAATCTAATCCTGAGGACCAATCGAAGGAAAGGAAAGAGCACTTCCGCACCTCAACCGCACTTAGGGGGCGGAACATGGGGGGGCGGGAGCTGCAGTATCAATACGGCCACGTGACCACTCCCATTGGCCAAGACACCTGCCGGCGCGGAATGGTTTGGTGATGCTCATTGGCCAGAGCGGGGATGGCCCACCCGGAGGCCACGCCCCCCGCGTCAGGATGTTTGGTTGCGGTCCCGCCGGGGAAGGAGACGCTGCCCTTCCGCAGCCATGGGCTCCCGGGTGAGTGCGGCCGTCCGGGGCTGAGGCTGCCCGACGGAGGGCATCGCGGCCGGGCTCGCGGAGGACTCGGGGGGGCCGCAGGTGTGCCGGCGTCTGTGGGTCGGGACGGCGCCCAGCTTGGAATGGGCGGCGCGAGCGGGTGGCCTTGCATGGAGGGTCGAACGAGGGCGGCCCCGGGCCCGGAGGGGCGGCCTGGGCCCGGCACGCGGCTGGCCGCAGCCGGGGCCAGGGATCCGGGCCGCCTTGCGGGCTCGTGGGCGGCGCCGAGGGCTGCGGGACGGTCCCCGAGGCTGTTCCCAGGATGGGCAGCGCTTGGGGGGCCCGGCTCGGGCCGCAGATGCAGGTATCGCTGAGGTGCGGCGTGGGGGCGCCCCGGGCCCAGGGCTGCGCGGGAGCGCGCGGTGGGGTGCCCTGGACGGCTGGGCAGAGGGTGAGGAGGAGGGGACGCTGCAGGATCAGGTGGGATGGGGGTGGTGCTCGGCCGGAGGCGGCTATCTAGGGCAGAGGTGCCGGTGGAACGTTCGCGCGAGAAGCCGTGGTGTTGTCAGTGCCCTGCGGCGGAGGTGCCATGCCCAGGACTGTGGAAACGGTGGCTGCCCAGGTGGGGACAGACCCTGTCCAGCACTCAGAGTGTCATCATGCGGTGGCATGTTGTCAACGTGGGGAAGAAGTGGAGGCTTCTCTCCTCGGAGCATGGGAGGTGCCGTGCACAGGCTGGGTTTGAACCCTTGCTTTCAGTGAAAAGAAGGGGGGGGGGTCGAGTGTTGTCACCTTTCTCTTGCTGGGGACTCTCAGGCAAAGGCCAGGCCTCAGTCTGTACTTGCATGTCTGGCCCATAGAGCCGGTATCAGCCATTCTCAAATACTACGTGGACTTCTCCGAAGTGCAGAGTCCCAAAGTCCGTGGGGGTGACACTAGGAACAGTGACAATAGTGGCAGACAGTAGCTAAGAGTGCCCGCTACAGCCTTGGGGGGGGGGTGGAGAGGGTCACACAAGTGACCTTGGGTGAGGTTGCTCATCTTCAGCCTCAGTTTCTCCATCCTGGAGATGAACTATGGTTATGGTGTGTATGTGACTGGACTCAAAGCCCTAGCACATAGCCAGTTGGCCTGTAGTGAGAGCCTGAGGGGAAAAATGTAGGCACTGAGCCTCTAATGTTCTTTTCTTTCCTGTAAGCCAAGCCAGGCTGGGGTCAAGAGGAGAGGCTTACAGAGCTGAACTGCAGGCCCTGACCACTGGAGGTCACAGTTACAGCTCAGATGGGGGCCCCTGGCAGGATGTCTGAGTACCCTGGACAACACTGGCGGTTTCCTTAGTCCTAGAACATTATCCTGCTACCCCTCCCAGCCCCCACCTACACCCTCTCCGCCTAGAGCTGAACTGATAGGACCTTCCGCCCTTCCCACTCATCAGGCAGACGCTGTTTCTTGTGCTGGCTCAGTGACTTTGGCTGTCATCCCAGGGAAACAGGGTCTGCCTTGGCCTGTGTGTACCTTCCATTGGAGGCCCTAGGAG